ATAGGGAGAGATGATCTGTCACTGTGATTGATAGGTGTCATTAGCTGGTCTTTTGTATGCCATGATCACTGGTCCTCATGACTGAGTAAAGTTTGTTGACCCTTTGCAGGTTGTATTTTTCAGTGTGGGAGCCAGACTTTGTTGAGTTTTAGACTGTCTTCTTTTTTTGTTGAAGCTCTGCTGGTGTTTATGGATTTCAATGGCTTCCCTGTGCAGTCTAACATAATGATCGCTGGTGTTGTCCAGTACTTCTGTATTTTGAAATAGAATTTCATGTCCAACTTTGAAATTGCACTAGAGCACAGAGTTCTGACTCCTGTCCTCTGAAGATGCTGGCCACAGAGACTGGTGAAACATTAGGAAGAAAAACCTGAAGAACACAGCCAGACAGCCTGAAAAACCTACAACAGCCATCAGATCCCGGCCATGAAAGCCTTTGAGAATACAAAGAAAAATAAATTGAAATTTAATCAAGACAGAACAGAGATCTGTCTGATCTGTCCTTTGGTCAGGCAAAGGAGAGATCAGGGCAGAGCAATTTGGACTGTGCTGGATGGGGTTGAAGTGGCATATTCATGGTCTAGATTCCCATGTGTTTGCTCTGTCCAAGAAACAAGTGAAACAGCTGCACTCATTCCCAGGGACATCTGATACATACCTTAGTTACTTCTAGTTTGGGTTCTTATAATGCAGCCTCCCTCCTTTAAAAAAATGTTCAGAAACATCAACTGGCCAAAAATCCTACAGCCAGACTATTGACCTGCACTAGTTACAGGGAGCATGTAATTCCCTGGTTACAGCAGCTCTAGGGCAAAACAGTAACTAGCAGTTTTGATGTCTGAGGCATGCAACATTGCCTCCCACTTACTTCCCTTAACCACTGCCGCCTCCTCTCTCTTGGGAGGTATGGGGTTGCTCCACAATGCTGCTGCTGCATAACCTTCTCCTTCTTGGCCACAGGATGGAGAGCACAGTTGCATAAGTCCTTTCTGTTGTCTGGTAGGTCACAGGAAGGTCATTGTGTCTTCATTTCTTTCTTTCTTTCTTTTTGAGAGTGGGGGAGATGTCATGTGAAACAATGTTGAAGGGCAGCATTCTGCTTCCTGTCTGAATCAGTAGGAGAGTTTGGGACACCCTTGTGGAACACCTGTCTGAAATTGAATAGTGCTAGCAGATGTGATACACTCCAGTCACTTCATCTCTAAATGTGGGAATATCTAAATTGTGGTACCCTGGGACAATGCCCCAGTTGCCCTGCCCTAGTTGCAGTTCTCCCCCATTAGCTACTCATCCATTCCCAGGCAAAAGTCAAAATGCTGTTTATGATAATGGCCTACATGACTTGGATCCGGGCTATCTGAAATTCTCTATATCTGAAATTCTGTATTCACATGCCTCCCTGGGCTTTGAAACCTGTAGGAGGGACATGTCTCGCTACACTACTATTTTCAGAGGCACATCTGGTAATATTAAAAGGTGCCGCATTTGTCAGGTATTTATATTACCTGTAGAACTGTTAATCCAGTTTGTATATGACTGTAAGTGTTTGTAAGGATGAAAACAGTAAGAAAACTCTGTAGATTTAATGATACAGCTGTGATAGGAACATGCTAGCAGGCTGAATAAGAACAGCTGTGGAAACAAAATGCAGAAGAAGCAACCTGCTGAAGCTAATCACCCATTGGCTGAAGGGTGAGATAAGGCCAACAGCTCCAGCATGCTCAATCTTGTGGGTCCACAGGAGGAGGAGGAGGAGGAAACACTGCTGGATGGATTTATGGCATTGGATTGACCACAAACTCTGATTTATTAGCTTGGTAAAATGGACTGACTAATTGATACTCTGTGAATTACCTAGGACTGTACTAAATGGACTATGCTGTATGTATATGCTGCAAAACTTAATTCAATATAAGTTTGATATTGCAAAGCTGTTCGTCTGCTTCATATCTTCTGTTTGCTAGAGTATGACAGCCTCTGAAAATAGTTTAGAATGTGCAAGCTTCAGTTCACTTCAAAAGCAACAGACAGAAATGTCAACACCTCTGGCTCAATTAAAGATCTGCAGATCATATCTCACTTGCCTTAGAAAAACTCTACTTCACCCAATGTAAAAAGGAGCTGGTTTTTACCTTTAAAGCTGCAAACAGCTTTGGATCCAACTACCTGAAAGAATATCTACACCTACATCAAACTACCGACAAAGGCAGTTCATTAGTCAATGCCGTTTTCTCAATACACTCACCCATACAAAAACCACAGTTTGCTACAACGTAAGAGAAGACATTTTCAGTAGTTGAACCATAGCTATGGAAAGTCCTCATCGGAAAGTTATTATGTTTACATTTTTTAAAAAAAAAACTACCTTAAGTATAGTATTTTACACTCTGATATTTGATTTTCCTTTTACCTGCTGGTTTTATGTGGATATCTGTTGTGTTTATGAACAGTCTTGACCTCACTGATAAAAAGCAGTTATGCACGTGATTTAGACCAATCATACCCAATTTTGAGAAACCCAGGTGTTCTTAGACTACAGCTTCTAGAAACCACAGCTAGCACAGCCAGTGGTGAAGGCTTCTGGGAGTTGCAGTCCAAGGTTGGGGATCTCTAATTTATACAAATGAATTATGAAGGCAATGTCACCTCCAAGGGGACAAGACAGACAATGGCGCAGATCTTGACTACTTATTTAAAAATCTCACTTTCCATGGCCTTGAAAGAACACATTCACTCCTCCTGCATTTACAAACACTGAACTTTTTAGCAATACAAAACTTTATCCAGAATAGAGGGAGAAATGATAATACTACTGTAAACCTACTAGACTTCAGTTGACTCCACTAACTTCCAATTTATTCTCCCCTCCTTTCTTTTTTTCCTTTTCATTTCAAAAGTCTGCATTACATATACACCAGACCCTATACACCAGACCATCTGGCTGGATAGTTCAGTGAGTTAGCTATCTGGGAGTTTGATTCCCCACTGTGCCTCCCAGAGAAAAGAGACAGCTTCTGCAGCCTTGCGCAAGCAGAATAATCCCAGAATCTCCCCAAAAAGAAGACAATGATAAACTACTTCTGAGTACTCTGAGTATCTAGAAAGGGTCACTAGACTCACCATAAGTCAGAACTGAGTTGACAGCACATACAATATACCAGATCACACCCAGAGAAGATTGGTTGGAACTCTGCCCACACACCAGATCCTTCTTTGCTTATCATCATCAACAACAACAAAAACACACCCCTGTCATCTCTAAAACCATTCCTGAATGTCAGTGGATCCTCTTGAATACAATGCAGCAGGGTAGAAGGGACTGGTGCAGGACATGAATCACAATGAATTTTGGCGAGACTTTCACATAAGCAGGAATTCTTTTCCACTCACATGTGACATGTCTAGATCTTAGCCTTATGTTAACAGAAACTGATCATACAGTGAACAAATCTATATATGAACAGCAATTGAAGTATATCCAAGTGTTCCCAAGAACATTTTATTTCAACTTTCTTAGAAGTAAATAAACAAAAGTCTTAATAACTTTTTTTTAAATTAAATAATTCATTAAATAATCTGAAAGTTTCACAAGAGTTTTAAAGAAATTACGAATTGTACTTGCCCATGGAAACTCCAAAACAATCCTGTTGCTTAGTGCAGCATAAAACAAATGGAGCAGATCCACTGAATCAGTGGTGATTTAGTAAGTCAACTGCTCCGTAAATTCAATTGATGGATGCACTCTAAGGTAAGACATCTAACATCCAGGCTTTGATTCTGAATGAACCTGTTGATGTGGCTTGCATTACAGAGACTTGGCTGGATGAATCTGGGGAAGTTGTTCTTTCTCAGCTTTTCCTATCTAAGTTCTCTGTGCAGCAACAAGCCAGACCTGTTGCTGCACAGAGCAGCAGGCAGCAGAGGGTCAGGGAGAAGGCGCTGCAACAGGCTGTCAAAATTCTAACCCCTCATCAAGTGCCCTGGACCAAAGACTGCTGGTTTTCAGTGTGTATAGTTAGGACTGGGCACCTAGGACAGAATAAGGATTATGTTGGTGTACTGCCCACTCCACTGCACAACAGTTTCCCTTCCTGAGCTGACTGAGACAGTTTTGGGCGTGTTGCTGGAGTTGCTTTAACTTGTGCTGGAAAACCTCGACATTCATGCTGAGGCCAGTTTATCAGGAGTGACTCAGGACTTTATGTCTACCATGACAACCACGGGGCTGTCCCAAATGTTATTTAGCCCCACTCATGTTGCATGGCACACTCTCAACTTGGCTTTCTGTACTGGGCAGAATGGTGACGGAACGCTCAGTAGTCCCATTGTCATGGACAGACCACTACGTGGCAAGGTTTAGGCTTACTGGAACTCTCTGCCTCTGTAATAGGAGGGGGCAGACCTTGGTGAGTTTTCTGCTGTCTTGGCAGGTGTTCCTGTTGAGGCCCTGGGAAAATGGCAAGGGCTATTGGCCGTGTTCTGAAGAACAACCTTCAGAACATGGCCAAAGAGCCCGAAAAACCCACAACAACCAGCTATTGACATGACTTGAGGACTTCTAAGTGTCCCCTCACATGGAGTGCAGACGTGGAACTAACCACGTGGTTTACCAGGAAGCTGGGTGATGGTGGTGATGAAGTAATTGGGATGAAGACTAAGAGCAATGATGGCAAAGAAATCAGAGTGGATCCAATCAAGCATGGGCTAGAGCTCACTGATAAACCTAATTCATGCCAATAGAGAAAAAAATCTTTTACACTACAGTGTCTGCAAAGAACCATCTAGTGGAGCTCTTTCATGTGGTCAAGGGCTTTTTGTACAGATGCCCACAAGAAGAAGATGCTTACAGCCCACTGTGAAAAATGTTGCATGGCACTTTGCAGACAATGTCTTTTGGACCCACTCTGACTTGACACAGGTCCTGCTGATGTAACTCTGGCCCCTAGTTGTCCTTTAAGAATTACACTTAATCCCTAGAATCCCTATTCTGTCCTAGGTGCCCAGTACTTGTGTTGTCTGAGGATGTGCCCAGGATCTTTGCAAATGTGAAGGCCATCACATGTGGGCTGGACCTTGCCCTCCCTGGCTACTAAAAGCAGGACTGACTGAGTGGGGTAAGGGAGCGGTGTATGCAACCTTGCAGCAAGGCACTGCGCCAGAATGTCTAAAGAAGGAAATAGTAAGACTTTTCTTTTAAAAGCCCTCCTTCTATCCCACTGTACGAGATAATTATTGGCCAGCCTCCAGCATTCCATTTCTGGGCAGGAGTTCCAGGTTTTCCTGGATGAAGCAGATTGTGACGATCCATTTCAACAGGACTTCAACTAATGAGGTATACACAGAATAATCAGGAGTTTAATTTGTATGGGGTTTTTAATAGTTTGTTCTAATCCTTGTTATTTAATTTTAGTTAGTTTAATCTGGAGCAGTTTTTTAAATTTTATTTTTATGTTTTATTGTGTTGTGAACTTCCCAGAGTGGCCACTGGTCAGAGGGGCAGTATGAAAATCTTCCAAATAAAACTATCTTCATTAAAAAGAAGACTGGAATAAAGGAAAAATTCTACACTAGCCTCCTCCTGATGCATTTTTCCACACAAAGAAGTGTTTTCTCTCCTCCACTTAACCGACAGGAGAGCACTGCCTCCTCTGAAATGGTTCAGCCCAGACTCCATGACAACTAGCCCAAGTCCCATGGATTTTGTTGGGAAAGGTTACATATGTACTTAAAACTTCATTTTTAACTTATTTTTTTTTCCAAGTTAAGCCAATGGTGATAAATAACTGTATTGATGTTGAATAGAGCAATGATTTTGTCACACACACACACACACGTGAAATCAGCTTGACAAAACCAAAATATATTGCTATAAAATAAGGGCAGGCGAAGTGCAGATTTCAAGATATTGTCTGACTGTAAGTCTTGGCAGCCCTAGCCATCAGAGTCAATAGTGAAGAACACTGGGAGTTGTAGTCCAACATCTAGAAGACAGTACTTTGCCCACATGTGTTATAAAAGACATGACATCCAATACTGATGAACTAACAGGAAACATGAAAGAATTACGGGTGGAAAGATAAATATTTAAGTCAGAGACAGAATTGACGTTTCAAAATTAACATTATTTAAGAAATGTAAAATTACTCCCAAGGAATTCTACTTTTGAAACTGAAAACGGTCATGAACCCTTTTAAAGTCATAGGAGCAGGAGTGTTTATCTGAACAACGGAACAGGCCTATTTTTAAATGACAAGATTTCTGTAAACTATGGAATAATATTAGCCTTAATGTCTGATATACTTCATTGGAGTGCTGGCTGTGATTTAAAGGCTACATCCAAGCTTTAGTCCCGGTTATTTTTTTTAAAAAGCCACTAAATTGTATAGTAAGGGTATGCTCTTTCATATTTTTGGACTACAAAAATTCTCCAGAATTCTTACAAATACTGCTCAGAAATACAAGACTATAAACGTATCTCCACTGCTGCCTTCCCTAGCCCTTATTTAATTTCAAATATAAGAAAATTGCTGCAATGCTACATGGGATTCATAGTTCCTCAGAAAGTGCCCTCTATAGTGTGTAATGGGCAGCAAGATTAAAACTCCCAGAGTTCTCCATGTCCAGGAGAGCAATTCCCACTGGTTGATCACATAACAGTGATCAGTGATTTTGGGTGCAATCCAAAAGTACAAAAAATCACACCCATATTAACTAGAAATGTTTTGTCGATACTTCTGTAGGTCCCAGAGATTCAATGAGAGTACTCTAGCTCAGACTAAAAATTGGATTAAGCTCATAATATTATACATTGCTTCATGTTCTCTTTAATTGATTATAATTACTTCTATGATACATGTTTTGAGGATACTTCCGTGTGTAAACAAAGCTATACATTTAGATTTAGTTTATATTTGACATTGACAGTACCATAATTGAATTTGGTCATCTTATTAAGCAATTATAATCACACAGACCCAGGAAAGTACCATTCAAAATGAGCACATTTAAGTATGGAACAATCTGTCAAGCAGTATGCTAAAGGAAGAGTGATCACTGATAATCTTTTCAGAGTGTGGTACTTTACATTCAACTGCTACATACTGCTTTGACCACAACAAACATCCCTCTGGTCACTTCATCAGGAGTCACTTGATACTAACTACAAAACCGGCATCTAAGATGCATTAATCAAGTTACAAATAGGTAGTATTGGTTGTCTAGGTGTAGCTATCTCTATATAGACAGAGAAGTATCTCACTACTACCAACAATAGTATAGGATGAATTTGCTGTGCAGCAGCTTCTGCACAGCATACTGAAAAAAGGGTGGGATGGCTGTTTCCTGGCTGCACAACTGTATATTTGTCCATTTGACTGAAAGACTGCCCAAAACAGGGAGAGGATATGCCACATCTAGTATCAGTTGCCTAAATGAGAGATTATCCTTAACAGTAATCCTGTTATACCCATATGCAATATCCAAAGCATTTAAGAGTAACTTGAAAAACAGTGGCTCCCAAAAAAAAAATGAAAATTGTGTGACACATAGATGCATGAATGTTGTTTGCAGGGTTTCCAGATGACACATGCAACACATGGAAATCCCTCAAATAAATATTTTAATATGATTATTCTAGAGAGTTGAGGACTACAGTATATTTCTTTGTGTCCATAGTATTCTCGTATTAGGGCCCTTCATTTAATCTGACTGCTATAATTTTAGTCCTCTAATCCAGTGGTTCTTAACCTTTTTGCAGTATATTTCTTTGTGTTCATAGTATTCTCATATTGGGGCCCTTCATTTAATCTGGCTGCTATAATTTTAGTCCTCTAATAATCTACACAACGTGTTTGCAAAATTTATCAAAAACATACTATGACTAGTGTATGTGTGCGCCGGCACTAAGGAAAGAGGAAGTGAAGATGATTTTGCAACTAGCCTCAGGAGGTGTGATCAGCACACATTATATGGTTTGCAGTGGACCAGGGTGAAATGCTTCCATTCCATCTTGGGCCTTTTATCTGTTGCTTTGGTACCTGACTTGGGTCATGTCTTCAAAAAGTAAATCTTCAGACAACCTGTGTAAGCATTACAAAGGTCTTAATTGTGATGACAAGAGGGGTGGGGAACATGTGGCCCTCCAGACTTTGCCGGACTAGAGTTCCCATCATTTCTCATCATTAGCTTTACTGCTGAGCCTGGTAGCAACTTTGGAAAGCCACAAATTGCTTACCCCTAAATTACAAGATCAAGAATAAGCCATGGAATCATGAAACCATAAGTTTGTGCCCCTGCAAACATAGAACCCATCCCTTTCCTGCAGTGAAGTCTACATAGATCAGTGAGTTGATGTGCCTGGAAGGGTGAAGAGTTTGAACACCACCCCATGTTCAGCTGGTACAGGGACCAACTAAGAGTGTGTGCATGCTCAAGTTACATGCCCTGTCTCCTGCATGGTCTTGGCAAAACCGCACAGCCATCATCAACCACACAGGTGTTATGCAGGCACAGTGCTCACCTCCCCTGCACATTCACCCATTCCTCAAGCAACACATGCTTCCCTCCCCACCTCCCCGATGTGACTCCCCACTCATCTTTTTCTGCCTTCTCCCTCAGCTGACCACTTAGACGAGGAGGCAGGGCAGGCTGACCGAGAAGGTGGAAGACAGAACAGCAGGCTGCAAAAGGTGAGTGGCCAGTCACATGGCCAGAGGGGCCGGGAGGGAAGGGCATATTTCCCAAGGAGTGTGCGAGTTTGCAGGGGAGGCAGATGCTGTGCCCACACAACACCTGTGAGGGCACGGTGACAACTCACCCTGGACAGGGATGACCTAATTCATGCCCATCTCTAGTTGCAACTTGAAAAAGGTTGGGAATCACTGGACTAAACCATCCCTAATCCATCATGTGTCCCACTTATATGCAGAGTCAAGTGTGCCTACACTTTCTGACATCCATGTGCTTAGATACAGCAAACTCTTTATGAGATCAAGCCAAGATGGTTCTGTCCTGATACGTATGCTGGCAGACAAAACAAATTGGCTATGTAAGTCCATTTAACATGTTATAATATAGTTCATGGGTAAGTTACTGCAGCACCCACCAGATTTTTTAACTACTGATTGTTGCACATACTTGCTAGGCTAATGGGGTTTGTTATCATAAAAAATTGTAATGAGGATAGATAGCCTATTGCCAATACAGAGGGCCCTATCAGTGAAATGCCACAGTTGAAAACCAGTGTTACATTTTCACATTACATCTTCACTCACCCTTGTTTCTTCTCAAATTTTAACCCGCAGACCATTTTTTCTCCAGCTGAAGTGAAGAACTACAGGACATGGTTGTTCGAAGCATACATCCATCTTGGCTACGAGCTGCATCCTACTTCTCCATAATTACATAGCAACTGAATCTAAAGCACATGTTAAACTAATTAAGGTCTCTCAGTGAAATCTACAGCCTTAACCCAGTATTGATTAGTGCCTTCTGGCAAAACAATTTTTTTTAGAAAACTATATAATGATCACTTTAATAACCTGACATGAATAACATGATGGGTGATACCCATTCTGTTGTAACTATGTCATGGTGTTATGATTTGTACCATGAGAACTCCTTTCCCTTCTTATATGCTAACAGGTGATAGGAGTGAAGGAAGGAAGCCACTCCATAAACTATGTGTCACGCAGTAAAGAGAAACATTCCAAATGACAATTTTGTGCACATGTTCATCATTTCACACCACCAGTGAGTGGTTTCCATATAATACCAAGCCATTTATGTGCATACAGCATCAGGAAAACTTTACAACTTACACAACATCTGTTCCGGCACAGAAATGTATGTGTACATCAAAATTCAACGAGACCACTGGCTGGCTCCTATTAAGAAACATTTGCCTGGCCTGGCAGCTACTTCTGCTCCCTTCTTAACACTTAATTTCTAAATCTGAAATCCCACCCCTGGTCACTTGTAAGCCATCCTACTAAGCATGGAACCAGATGAGACTGTTTATAACTTAGGCTGGTTTTGGCCTGTAGATATCAGAGATGAGCAAAGGGAGGCGTAGCAAATCTATTTGTTTTTCCTTCCAAGCATATCCTTAGAGTGCTAGAAGCTGTTTGAAAAGCAAAACACTTCTTGCTACTCAGTAACAGGATTTCACAATTTCAAGTGTTGTCTGTTTCCTCAAAGCACTGGGAACTGGCCTCGGTCAGATACACTGCTCATAAAGTGATTTACTCATTCAACCCAGTGACACTACTTTCTGCTATGAATTCACTCACAGTATTGAATAATAGCAGAGATGCCAGAAAAAGTGGAAGCTCACCCAAAACAATGTCATTCAAGAGAAAAACAGTAATTGGGTAACCAGGAGTCATTAAAAACCACATCTATCATCCCCTTAAAAGGAGAGAGGTGGCGAATTAAAGCCTATCTTCCCTAATGCTCTGCCCATCCAAAAGCCTGGTTTCCTTCCAACCTCTGCCAACATCTCCGTAAAGGGCATGTACAGGCCTTAAACAGGGCTCAGACTGTAAACCAGCCACCTCACTCCTGAAGTGTGCTGCAAATGGAACATCTATTTATAGGTTACTTAGCAGCAACTCTCCTGCTTCAAAAGCACTCGCAGCATTTTGACACCAAAATGTGAAGAGCCTGCTCAAGCATGTGCAGAGTGCATCTTCCTAACCACCAGGTACCCACAGAAAGCTGAAGACGAGGCATATCTGAAGATCTGTCTCCCAACTAGGCTGGAAGCCCTGCACCTCACATCCTCAGCAGCAAGGACAACAACAACAACAACCCCCCCCCGCCGCCTCATTACCGCCGAATGACCCCGTCTCTGGAGGTCAGGGGCAAGTCCTGGCAGCAGCGGCGGGGCCACAACAGCAACCCAGCCAAGCCCGCCCGGGCAGCGCACGGTAAACACCCAAGGAAAGGAGAGGGGCCAAGAGCAATAAGAGCGGCAAGCGGAGCGGGGAGGACGGCAGGAAGCTCAGCACGTCTCAAAAGCAGAGCGGATTGCCGCCCTGGGATGCCGACTGCTGAAGGGCTTCAAGGCCGGCGGAGAAGGCAGAGCTGCCTTGCCGCCACAGCGGGAAAGGGGAGCCTCTCCTTCTGGGCGAAGCGAAGAGACCAGCCGGGAGGGTCGGTTTCGCCCTAGGAAAGAGGGGGGAACCCTCAGACGGGGGGGGAAGAGGGCTGCTGCTTCTCGCGCAGGGTTAAAAAGGCAGCCAAGGAACAAGTCC